AATAAAAAATGTTCCGAGATCAAAGACAAGATAAATCTTACAACTTAATCCTTATGCAGTTTTTTGTCTAGATATAATTCTTTTCTAGAGCATGCGCGGATTGGGCCTAACGGTTGTAATCGTAATACATAGTTCAAATCCCTCTCAGGTAGTTTTACATCGAGCATTAATATTCACCTGTTCGAAAAACTCGGGCCGAGGATTACTCCCTCATATCATATAACCCTATACAACTTGCAGCAAATCGTTTGAGGAGAAATTGGAACCTTTAAGTCCCATTGAGAGAAATCAACAAAATAATATGATTTGATATATCACGGAATAATGTTATTTCATGATCAGTGACAATTTATATTATTATAAACATATTTGCCAATATTGATATTGAAACTTAAGCTATCTTTATGTATTATAAAGAAATATAATTTAGTCGTGAGATAAGGTATATACTTAAAATGACAATCAACACATTTTATGAGATTGACAATTATTAGGGATTTGACATTACAATTAACCCCATGCATGACGTCATGATATTTGGTAATCTAAGCATTCAGTCCTTGGCTCGACTTATTTTGACAATACTGATACGACCGTTATTTTATGTTAATTGATTAAAACAAAAAATCAGTATCTGTCTATATTTCTGAGATGAGGTATTATGCACACTATTTACATTATTCGGACTATTGTCCTCATCTTTGTGGCCATATTTATTACAACGTTTCGGCCGTTGTATGCTCTGGCCTTCTTCAGGTGGTTGGAATGTCGAACTGATCCCTTTGTTTCACTCACTGGGGTAGACTGTTCTAGTTCCATGTGTCATGTTTTTAATGGATGTCAGTTATCAGTTAATCTCCTGTTAATTCCCCTCTCTTAATTCTCCACTGCCTTAACCGGGTATTGAACTCACACTCTTTGGGTCCTGTCACTGGATCTAAGCAACGCCTTTATAAAGGCGTTGAAGGCCGGAGCGTACAACGGCCGAAACATAGTAATAAATATGGCGACAAAGATGAGGACAATTGTCCGAATAATGCAAATAAAACAAAAAATGTTTCCAATCACAGTTAAGATGAAGGCTTCATTTGAAATCTGTCCACAACCTCTATCCTCTTAAACAATGAGGTAGTTAGCTCCCAAGGGAGTAATATCAAATCAAAAGAAATAATTTAAACCAAGAGGAAGAATTTTTTATTAAATCGAATGGAAGTTTTATGATTATGATTTATGAGACATCAATTCAAAATGGGGGAGAGATTGAGGAAACTTTGGATCGTGAATGGTGATGAATGTGACTTGGGAATTTGAAAAGCAATGTTTAAAATCTGAAATTAGTTTTTGACAACGAAATCGAAATTAACATACGAATTATGAACATTTGCATTTGCCAATATTAAATGAATTTAAATTGGAAAAAAAAAAACTCTAAGCCTTATAAGCGGTTATAGATTTTAAGCACTGAATAACTTACATCGGATATACAGAGAATAATTCTGTCATTTTCTTCTCCGACTAATGGGAACGTTAGGAATTAAAAGAACTAAAGTCCGAAACTTGGTAAGAGATTCTCTGAAAAACAAAAAACTAAAAAAATCCAACATTTTTCCATCAAAGAACTTTTTCGGAATTTTTTAATCAAAATTATGTCAGCATTTTTTATGATTTATTTCTTTTCGATTATCAGAGTATGAATAAACGGAAATATTATTATTTCTCATCTCAATTTATTCTCAATATAGGTGAATATTTAAAATTTTCACTGCAGAGATATTGCCATTACCTAACAATAGACTTAATTCTCGAAGATAATTGCAGTACCGTTCCGAATTCTGCAAAGTACTAAACCCCGAAAAGTCCTTGGTTCAATCCGTTTCTGGTTTTAAACGTTAAGTGTATGCATTAATGTGCCATTGTCTTGATAAATGAGAGCTGTTTTGCACGACTTTAACTTTATCAAAATAAAAAGGCATTTCTACATTATTAATGATCAATGATTTGTCATCTCGCGTCCTTAAATGTTTCAAATTTTGACCACAGATGTACAACCGTTAAAATTAATTTGAAGGTCCTTATCTATGATTGGTAGTCGATGAATATCCTTTATTTTGTAACAAGTATTTGTTCAACTGCGACCGAAATCATATTCACAAATGACCCCATGAGGAATGCACTTACTATGAGAGAATTAGTGGTGTGGATTTTATAATGAGTGAATTATACGCGGTGTCGGTTGAAAGGTGAATTAACTTCCGGCATTAATGTAAAAAAAAAAACAAGATAGCTAAGCTAGGTTATTTGGGATTTATTAGCATACTCGGAGTACTGGGTTCGAACTCATGACTTAACAGGGTTTTAACAAGTAAGGTCAAGAGAAATAAGCAGTACCATCCATTCACCCCTAGAAAAATGGCAATTGAGATAAACCAACTGAAATTAATGTTGTTTATATATATACATATATATATATACGATCCACTTTCCTGAAGTTTTCATTTGCAGACTAACGATCAAGTGAAAACGATGGAGACCACATTTTGGAGTTTAACTTTGTCTCCAGGCCCGATACCTAAAGTTTCCTGTTTGAATTGTAGAACCTACTTTAATTCATCAGTACAGCACATTGTTTTCATTTTTGTGATATGGTGTCAATAAAGTTGACACCTACTATTTTACACACTGGTCGTAGTTAGGCAACCCAATGCACCGCAGAATTGGAGAGTACTGTTCTTCTGATAATTGAAACCCACTACAAAAAAATCTGATATTGTTTCCAAAGGCAAACATCGGTTGTTTGTTCTGAAAGTAGATTTGTTTATTTTTATTATTATTATTTTTTTCTTATAAATAACTCCCTTCGTCCCTTGAGTTCCGTTCTTGAGGGCGTTTCAACCAGCTTCACGTAAGAGTAAGACTTCCACAGATCAAAACAGAACATGGGTAGGGAAGATCGACTGGCGGGGTGAGACGTCCAAGCAGCACATCAAATCCGTAAAGGAAATAAGAAGGGATTCGTTTATACTAACGAACAAAGGCTTGCAAATCGAACTATTGCTCTTTGTGATATAATTATATGTGAAAATTTTACTGAGCTTAACTCAATTTAGTACAAGCTGAGCACGTAACGAGGACCGAGATACCAATGTCACGCAAGACAAGATGAATAGAAATATATATATATATATATATATATATATATATATATATATATATATATATATATATATATGAGTCACTACCGAATGTGTCACAAGGTCAGTTTAACGTGGGTTTGACGAAAATACCGTATGAAAATTGCTCAAGCACCCTCGACACTTCCCCATGGTTGGGTAGCCCACAGGTACTGGGGAATAAACCCAACCCCTCCCGGAGTGGTACTGCGTCGGAAGAAGATCCTGATATATATATATATATATATATATATATATATATATATATATATATATATATATATATATAGGTCTTTACCAGAGCGCCCACGTTATTACCGGATGTGATTCAAGGTCGAGGTTTAAAGTTGGTTTGCCCCTCGGCACTTCCCCTTTTCAGGACGTCTCAGGCACCGGACAATAAACTGAGTCCTCTGCCAAAGTTACAAAAATAATCTGAATCCTATTCTACGCTTACAAAAATAATATATATGTACAAAAGAATCGTGTCTCCAAGGGTTCAGTTCTGGGCCCAACTTTTAGTAATTTTTAAATATAAAAAAACTCCCCTTCTATCTAAAATATGTCGGTGATATCTTTATTTTAGTCAAGAATATGGATGAAATATGTGGCACCCTGCATTATTAGAAAAACTAAAAAGAAATATTCCTAGAAATATGATTTAATTTTTATTCGGTTTATTAACCAGTTGTTAGTTATTTAGACGAAGAATAATTGAGTTTTGAGAATAATTCTCTAATTGTATTTAGGCGACCCTAAGGGAAGATGAAGGGAAAAGAAAGAGGAAAAGAAAGGAAAGAGAGGGAGAGATGGGTAATGCAAAAGCCGGTCATAAGCGAAAACAGGTGTCAAGAGATATCTAGGCCAACGCGCCTGACCGAATTTCAAGAACAATGGAAATTGTTATTTGAAAGAGTAAGTTTAGAGATAATGAACGGACATGGTAAAAGTGGATGAACATACGTACGATTGATAAAAATATCGGTCAAAACATCTGGCCTACTTTTGTGTCCACGGAATGTAGAAGCTCATTATCAATTTGGAGAAATGGGATTTTTAGAACAATGGAAAACGAAACATTACTCGGAAAGGGGTGTCTTTGGAATGAGAAGGTGACCGCTGGAATTGTATACAGATCCTGACCTGTTGAAGATTAGAACCCCCACGATGATGAAGTGAAGATATTTTCAAATTCAGATAATTAAGATTTTGACTGTCAGGCCTGAACGAAAATAAAGGAACGAAAACAATTGTTTTGGCTCACAGAAAGCGCCAGCGAGACGAGAAAAATTCTTCCTGAAGTCACATCTAATTAGCGGCGGGCTGTTTTGATAAAAACCAAAAGGTGAGAAAGGCCGAGATTGTCATTTTTGTGCGTGCAAAAAAGGCCAAATTGGATTTTGTTTTTTTTAGCAAGGTGGTTCTTTCCCAGAACAAAGCCGGGATAGACCACGCCCGATTGGAGACGTCACGAAGGACGGGAGACGCCCAACCAGAATCTCATTAGCCGAAAGCGGTCACGTGATATGCGAGAAAGAGGAGAAAGGACGCTCGACCAGGACCCATTGGTCGAAAACTGTCACCTGACATACGAGAGACCGGGAGAGATGGGTATGCGCCTCCCCTCCCCCAGAGGCACTGTGAGGAAGTAGGGGTGAAAATAAGAGCGATAATGGGAAATCAGAACTAATGCGACTTTTGGAATTATCAAGAAAACCCTGACGCCGACAGACCCACACCAGTTTGTTGCGGCGTCAATAAAAGCAGGACCCCAATCGACAGAAATCAGAGAGTTGCGGGGTAGACGGCCAGAGCAGTTGGAGAGCGGACGGCGGGCCCTGCTCATTCGCCCCTTGCGGGCAAGAAGGGCCGGTCCGTTTGGCCCGGACAGGCAGAGAAGTTGCAGCCAAGTCGAAGAGAAGAAAATTGCTCGAAAGCCGCAGAGAAGTTGGAGCAGAATTGCAGGCCAGACAGGCCGAAGAATTGCAGGCCAGATAGGCAGAAGAGCTGCAGGCCAGACAGGCAGAAGAGCTGCAGGCCAGACAGGCCGAAGAATTGCAGGCCAGATAGGCAGAAGAGCTGCAGGCCAGATAGGCAGAAGAGCTGCAGGCCAGACAGGCCGAAGAATTGCAGGCCAGATAGGCAGAAGAGCTGCAGGCTAGACAAGCCGAAGAATTGCAGGCCAGACAGGCAGTAAAGTTGCAGGCCAAACAAGCAGAACAGTTCAGCCCCGGAAGGCAGAGAGAAGAGTTCACCTCAGACGGCAGAGAGAAGAGTTCGGACCTTGGCGAGAAGAGTTGCAGGACGGAAGAAGAAGTTACTTGCAGTTGCGTCTAGAAGAAGTTGAAACCAGGCCAAGCCTGAGGGTGGAAATTCGTCCAACCCAAATCGAAGTGAAGAAATACGTCCAACTCAAGCCGAAGCGAATAAGCTCGTCCAACTCAAGCCGAAGAGAAGAATCAGCCGTGAACGACTGGTAGAGATTAGCGCCCAGTGTCGAAACCAAACCACACTCCGACATACAAAATTCTAGAGAGTAGGCAACTCGAAGTCTTTTAAATTGTATGATAGAAGCTTGGTGCCACAGTCCACAAAACGGGTCGGGAAGTAAGAATAATTTTTATGTAACGAACATTAGATATAAAAGGTTGTTACCCTTTCTTATCAGTAATTTTTTGCCTCGTGAGTTTTTTTTTCTTTTACTTGTATGTTGCCACCCCCGTTGAACCCAGCTGGCATACGGCCCCGACTCCTGTTTGATCCCAGTCTGTCTAAGATCTAATCACAACGTGGGTAGGCAGACCGGAGATCAGTACAGTTACCCTAGTAACCAGGTGTTGGAAGCGAGTTGGGAACGGCGAGGCTGGTAATCATCTAACCAGAGGGTTGGAACGTCACACTTGGAGCAGCGAGGAGCGAACAGCTGACGCCGCGGCAAAAAAACGTCACAACTGGTGCTGTCCGTGACAAGGATCGACCCTTGGGCGGCCACATCACGTCACGTCACAGTTGGAGCCGCGAACGAGATCGAACGACAGAGTCGACGCTGCGACCAAGGAGGGGCGACGTCACAGTTGGTGCCCTGACCAAAGGATTCAACCCTGAGACAACCACGGCACATCACATCGATCGACCGCCGTTGCTGAAAATTCAAACAGGACTCAAAACGACCCGGGACCGAAAGGAACGAGAACAGAATCGTCTGTAAGGTAGGACACTTTATTTTATTTCCCAACCTCGATTGTCTTTCTCCTTAGATATGTCAGACTATGATTCAGATAGAGCAGTGGGGGGTGAAGAGGAAGTAAGACAGGGGTTGTCAGTTGATTTAAGAAAGCTGTTAGGTGGACCGAGGGTCCCAGTATTTGACGGCAGCGGGAAAGAATTTAAAGGCTGGCTGGCAATCCTAGAGAAGAGCCGAATTATCTACGAGCTTTCAGACCAAGAAACCCTGTATTTGGCATACGATGCCACAAAGGGGAAAGCATCTGAGTTCGTGAAGGAGCTCTTGGAGAGTCAACCCCGTTTGTCTTGGGAAGGGTTAAAAAGACTGCTGACCAAGGAGTTCGCCGACGAGGGCACGGCCATAGAGGCCATGAGGGCCCTCCTAAAACTGACACAGCTGCGGAATGAAACCCCGGGAGAATTGGGGGCCCGAGCAGGGAAGCTGTCGTCATTGGCATTCCCGGAAGTGGTCAGAGATAATGCGGTTATGCAGGCCCAACTGGCGGACCTGTATGTAGAGGCGCTAAGTGACGAGCGTGTTCGTCACGACGTGCTGAAAGAGGGACCGCTGAGACTGTCGGCAGCAATAGAGCTGGCCAAGGAGAGCCAGGGCGTATGGGAAAAAGTGAAGAGGTGTGGGAAGAAGCAGATGCCAAGTCGGGAGGCTGGAGGAAGGGGGGTAGGCGGAGGATCCCCCGCGTGGAATCAGAAGGTTAAAGTAGAGGTGGATCGGGCAGAATTATGGGAAGAAGACCCCAATAGAAAGACATGGTCGACCAGGCATGGTTTTTATAAGCCCACGCCGGGTCGATACGGGCTGGTCTGCTGGACCTGTGGGCACGAGGACCACAGGGCGGCGGAATGTCCGACGAAGTGGGGGTTGCCCCCAGACTTCAATCAGGACAGATGCACCAGGTGTGGTAAGAAAGGACACCTGGCCAAATGGTGCGGGCTGAGGAAGGGTGCCCCACCGATATTAACAAAGAAGGCTGAGCCCAAGAGACCGGCCCAGGGAACCCATGGGCCACCCCTGAATTAAGAGGGAGGGTGGCCCAGTTAAAAGCAGAGAAATAAAAGCTTGGACCAGTGGACGGGCGAACTGCTTGAATAGAGGACGGGTTCCCCGGGAATAGACACAAGGCCAACCCAGTTGAAAAGGAAAAGGGCAAAATGTTGGACATGTGGTCGGGCGGGCCACTTTGCGGCAAGCTGTCCAACAAGAAGGTGCTGGTTTTGCAGGAGGCCAGGACACCTGAAGAGAAACTGTATTTTTAGAAACGGCCGAGGGAGACCGGGAAAGCGCAGAACTCCACCTCATGAGAAAAATGAAGGTGATTTATTACTACCGGCACCTATGGATGGGTTAACCCAAGGGTGGAGACCCAGGAAGAAGAAAGCTCAAGTGTTCTCTTCGCTAACGCAAGAGAAAGAACTATCCTGTAGAGCGGAGATAGGTGGTAGGGAGATGAGGGCTTTGATGGACACAGGAGCATCTGTGTCATTGATGAGAGAGGAAACATACAGGCGGGTGAAACGGAAGAGAAGGTTACGGGAAGCGGACATAGAGGTCACGCAAGCAGATGGAGCCCCCCTGAAGATAAAAGGGATGGTGAGGCTCCCGGTGAGGATTGGGAGGGTGAAGAGCACCCAAAAATTTTACGTAACCCCCGACCTCTGTACGGAGGCAATCTTGGGAGAAGATTGGCTCCGGAGCCAGAGGGCCCAGATCGAGTTTAATCCTACTGTGTTGGTGGTGAACGGCGAAAGAACGCCATTGGGATGCCCATCAGAGGAAGAGATAACCATAGTGGTGGAGGAAGATGTAAAGTTACCTCCTAGGACCGCAGTGTCGGGAAAGGGTAGGTTAATGTCAGGAAAAAGGGCATGGAGAGGACCTCTGCAGTTGGTCCCTGTAGAAGGAAAGAGCCTAGAAGATAGCGAGGTAACCCTGTGCGAAACGGTAGTGGAGGCAGCCGAGTTGGTGCCCATAATGATGGTGAACCAGGCCCAAAAGACTATAAAGGTTAGGAGAGGGGAGGAGATAGGAAGAGCACTTCCCCTACGAACTCTGAATCGGGTGAGATTCGAGGAGGAACGAAGGAAGCTAGTAGAGCAAACAGAAGGAATCTAGATGAAGATATATTAGCACCGGATCAATTTAGAACCAGAGTGGGGGTCTGTTGGGGGGCAATCGAGATGTGGTGGCCCAGTCAGACAAGGAACTAGGTCAGACCCACCCAGTCGAAATGAAAATCGACACCGGAGACCACCCCCCTGTGAAATTAAAACCCTACCGGACACCTATACATAAAAGACCCCTTGTAGAAGAGGCAGTAGAGGAAATGTTGGAAGCTGGGATGATCGAAAGATCGATCTCCCCTTGGAGCTTCCCAATAGTAATAGTAGGTAAGAAAGATGGCGGGCATCGTTTCTGTGTAGATTTTAGAAAGCTAAATTCTATATCGAAGCCGTTGGCGGTGCCATTACCATTGATAGACGACATTTTGGCATTATTAGTGAAGGCAAAGTACTTCTCTACGTTGGACTTGAGGTCCGGGTATTGGCAGGTAGCCCTGGATGAGGCTGACAAGAAGAAGACCGCATTTGCGTGTCACCTGGGACTGTTTCAGTTCAGGGTGATGCCATTCGGTTTAGCTAATGCCCCGGGAGTCTTCCAACAGCTAATGTCAATAGTGTTAGGAGGATACGAGAGCTTTGCCATGGCGTATTTGGACGATATCTTGATATTTTCGGAAATAGTGGAACAACACTTTTTCCATTTAAGACAAGTATTGGGAAGGTTAAGGAAACACGGCTTAAAATTAAAATTGTCAAAGTGTCAGTTTCTGAAGGAAGAGACTAGGTATTTAGGCTTCGTCATAAACGGAGACGGTATTAAACTCGACATGGATAAGGTAAAGGTCATAAGGGAAATGCCAGAGCCTAAGACAGTGAGGCAGGTAAGAGGCAGTTTTATAGGAGCTATAGGCTACTACCGACGCTCGTCCCGGCATTTTCAAGAATTGCCATACCACTAGTAGCCCTGACGAAGAAATACGCTACAAGTGGACAGAGGACTGTCCCGGCATTTGATTCGCTAAAGAATTGCAACAGTACTGCTGACGTACCCAGACCTCAGCAAGCCCATGACGAACGGATGCCAGTGAGCAGTGTAGGTTCCCAGCCGTGTGGACAGAAGGACCAGTGCCAGGCATACCAGAGCATTTGATCTCAGAGACACAACAGAGGTGGCCAGTAATAGAGAGGAAGGAATGTATGCTCTCCAAAACTGGACTACTATTTGAATGGTGCGGTCTTTACTATAAAAACAGACCACAAACTGCAGTACCCTATTGAGGCAGAGTGGACTAATAATAAGAAAATTCAACAGTGGGAACTTAAGTCAGCAAGCCCACTGTAAGATAGATTATGGCAGGAAAGGAAAACACGCAGATTTGCTCTCAGAAGTGAGAAAGATCTGTAAGGGTGGAACAGGAAGTAGATGATAAAGCCTATAGAATAGTATTAACCTAATAAGCTAAAAGTCGCCCTATGTTAGAATCGGACGGAAGAAGGGACGCCCAGATAATAACCGATCCCTACTGGACAGAAGGAATTACCAGACAGTGAAAGAAGGGAAGTAGTATGCCATAATAGAGGAAAGGCTATATTATCTCTCAGGCAGGGATGAAGAAGTCTCTCCCAAGTTGTATGTACCCAAAAGTTTAAGACCAGAGATATTGGAACAGTGCCAGAGGTTGGGCCATGGGAATTGATAGGACATGTGATCTCATAGGAAGAAAGCTATTGGCCCAAACTGTACAGGTCACTAACTATGTTAGCTGTGTAGTGTCCGCAGAGCAGAAAAAACTGGAGGAAACAGACGTACCAAACTTCCCTTTGAAATGGTATGGATGTCTCAGGACCATATTGCACTATAAAAAACTATATAGTGACCTAACAAAAACCTCTGCCAGAACAGTGGCCGGGGTTGATAATTGAAATCTTCCCTAGGTAGGCAGCAATTTGGTAACAGATAATGTCACGGAAATGTGAACAGCATCATGAGAAGGAGGTTTGAATGTAGAGCACATAAAAACATCTCCATATCCCCCAAGGAAATGCTAAAGTGGAAAAGACCTTGGGAGAGAGCCAAACTGGTCAGAGAAAAAGGAAATTGGGACTTGTATTTGACGCGCAGATTTGAGGTTTACGATAAACGAAACCTCAGATTTTCTCCTTATTTTTTTGTTTGGAAACAACGTGGCCCTGCCGTGGATAATCTGAAGCCCCGAAGAAGGTATAGGAAGATCATCATCAACTATTGCTGGAACAGATAAAATAGAAGAAAGAATACAAAGAGGGCTCAGAAGAAAAAGAAATGAGAGGGTGAATGCTGAAAGAAGGTAGAGTTGAAGGTTGGAGACCCTGTCTACTATAAAATCCACCAGAAGAAAACTGGACCAGAATGGGAACCGTACTACCGGATATAGAGCAGACGGGCCCAGTATCATATGAATGGGATCAAGTGGCAGGACGAGCGAGGAGGGTTCATGCCAATGATCTGAAGAATGAAATAAGCTAACCTGGAAATGAGCCCGAGGCCCTAAGAAGACAAGAAGGAACTCTGGTTGAACCGGAAGAAATGGAGACGGAAGAAGACGAGGAGGATGAAGATAGGTGACTGGCCAGATAAGAGAAGCAGTCGAGTGACAGAGTTGGAACCCTCATGGGATTAGCGATGTTCAGTCGTCGACTGAATCGGTGCATAGAAGACTCTGTGAGGTCGCCATCACACCCCCATGTCCGAAGAAAAGGAAGAAAAAGGAGGTCCAATCAAGCAGTATTAAAAAGAGGCTCTGAACAGGACGAAGGGGCCCAACGAGTGGGAGGAGGAGGATCGAATACCCTTTCCCAGCTCAAGGAGAGGATAAGGAACAGGAGAAATTTAGACATAGAGTACCAAAAGACATTCAAGGCGAAGACTCTAAACAGAAAGAAGAAAGGACAAAAAACCTCCTGGACGGAAGTTAAAACACAGAAAGAGGGTTAGAGGTTGAGCAGGAATCACCCTCAGAAGATGAGATCAGGAGGTGAAAAACCCCAAATCTCAGTAGAACAAGAGGGCTGTGCAGAATAGAAGCATTTAGTGTCGACAGATAACGACACTGGCTCATCCAAGAACCTACTGGCTGACTGGTAGATGTGGGTGGAGGGGATGGAGTCTGGGCTGCACCTCACAAGGGAAGGAGGTTATTGGCATTGTTGATTGACCATCAGTGATGTGAAGTACGACCTTTAGAGTGAGCGCCACGCAAACCTGACCGGACCATTCTGTCTGAAATGGAACTTAGTAATAAGTTATGAAATGATTGAGTGATGAGTCGAGCGAGACTGAGTGGTTGTGAAGAAACAAGAGAATTTGTTACCTTTCAGGAATGAAGATGAAAGGGTTGGTGATGGATGATGGCAGTAGCCACAGAAACATATCAGCTTGTCTAGGGGGTCCAAAAGGACATTAAGAATAAGGCCACCGTTATCCTGGTGACACTACCCATGGGATGTTCGGAGTTTTATCCATTTCCTTACCCCCTATTACCAGAAAGAAGAAAGATATGAAGAAAAGAAATCATAGAGATGATTGGTAGAGGCTTAGTCAATTGTACAGAATTATGGGAGCCGATAGTGAAGAGATTCTCTAATGTTACTTAAATAAGGCCAGATTAATGGCAATAGAAAAAGATCGATATGGATCAATTAAGAGATAAGAAATGCGTTGGGAAACGAAGGGTGGCTTGGGAAGACAATGAGCAGATCGCGATAACCCAATAGTAGTGGGTACATTCCTAGTTATAACCATCAGATTAATGGAAGGTTAGGGAGAAATTAGCGAACGACAATCAGCATGCAGCAACTCGAGAGGGAGATGCCGAGCAGTGTTCCTTACTCAGACAGGACTGGTGAAGAAATTGCTGAAAGACCAACGGAGGAGGCTGGCGTAAGACCACCACGTGCGGCGGAAAAACCTCCCACAGCGGAGAGGAAAACATTGACCAAGAAGAACAAACCATAGTAGACACATCTGCGCCCACAGACAACGCACATATTACTTTTTGCAAAAAAAAAAAAAAAAAGAAGAACATTACCCTTGCATGTGGAACAAAAGAAAATGAAAAAAGAACATTACATTGCATGTAGAACAAAAAGAAGATGAAAAGAACATTACATTGCATGAAAAGAACATTACCCTTGCATGTAAGAAAGGAGAATAGAATTGCATGGGATGGTGCATGTTAAATGATGTAATTGGGTTTAGGTGTCATTTACGGGTAAATGACAAATCGGTTAAAGGGAGGATTGAGGCACCTGCATTATTAGAAAACTAAAAAGAAATATTCCTAGAAATATGATTTAATTTTATTCGGTTTATTAACCAGTTGTTAGTTATTTAGACGAAGAATAATTGAGTTTTGAGAATAATTCTCTAATTGTATTTAGGCGACCCTAAGGGAAGAAGAAAGGAAAAGAGAGGGAGAGATGGGTAATGCAAAAGCCGGTCATAAGCGAAAACAGGTGTCAAGAGATATCTAGGCCAACGCGCCTGACCGAATTTCAAGAACAATGAAAATTGTTATTTGAAAGAGTAAGTTGAGAGATAATGAACGGACATGGTAAAAGTGGATGAACATACGCGATTGACAAAAATATCGGTCAAAACATCTGGCCTACTTTTGTGTCCACGGAATGTAGGCTCCAATTTGGAGAAATGGATTTTTTTAGAACAATGGAAAACGAAACATTACTCAGAAGGGGTGTCTTTGGAATGAGAAGGTGAGAATTGTATACAGATCCTGACCTGAATGATGAAATGAAGATATTTTCAAATTCAGATAATTAAGATTTTGACTGTCAGGCCTGAACGAAAATAAAGGAACGAAAACAATTGTTTTGCTCACAGAAAGCGCCACGAGACGAGAAAAATTCTTCCTGAAGTCACATCTAAGCGGCGGGCTGTTTTGACAAAAACCAAAAAGGGAGAAAAAATTTTTGTGCGTGCAAAAAAAACCCAAATTGATTTTGTTTTTTTAGCAAGGTGGTTCTTTCCCAGAACAAAGCCGGGATAGACCACGCTCGATTGGAGACGTCACGAAGGACGGAGACGCCCAACCAGAATCTCGGGCCCGGTCACGTGATATGCGAGAAAGAGGAGGGACGCTCGACAAGGACCCATTGGTCGAAAACGGTCACCCTGACATACGAGAGACCGGGAGAGGGTTCCCCTCCCCAGAGGATCTGAGGAAGAGGGGTGAAAAATAAGAGCGATAATGGGAAATCAGAACTAATGCGACTTTTGGAAAAAGAAAACCCTGACGCCGACAGACCCACACCAGTTTGTTGCGGCGTCAATGAGGACCCCAATCGACAGAAAAGACAGACGGCCAGAAAGTTGGGAGCGGACGGCGGGGTCCCTTGCGGGCAAGAAGGGAGTCCGTTTGGCCCGGACAGGCAGAGAGTTGCAGCCAAGTCGAAGAGAAGAAAAGCTGAAAGGCCAGACAGGTTGGAAGAATTGCAGGCCAGACAGGCCGAAGATAGGGATAGAAGAGCTGCAGGCCAGACAGGCAGAAGAGCTGCAGGCCAGACAGGCCGAAGAATTGCAGGCCAGATAGGCAGAAGAGCTGCAGGCCAGATAGGCAGAAGAGCTGCAGGCCAGACAGGCCGAAGAATTGCAGGCCAGATAGGCAGAAGAGCTGCAGGCAGGACAAGCCGAAGAATTGCAGGCCAGACAGGCAGTAAAGTTGCAGGCCAAACAAGCAGAAACAGCCCCCGGAAGGCAGAGAGAAGAGTTCACCTCAGACGGCAGAGAGAAGAGTTCGGACCTTGGCGAGAAGAGTTGCAGGACGGAAGAAGTTACTTGCAGTTGCGTCTAGAAGAAGTTGAAACCAGGCCAAGCCTGAGGGTGGAAATTCGTCCAACCCAAATCGAAGTGAAGAAATACGTCCAACTCAAGCCGAAGCGAATAAGCTCGTCCAACTCAAGCCGAAGAGAAGAATCAGCCGTGAACGACTGGTAGAGATTAGCGCCCAGTGTCGAAACCAAACCACACTCCGACATACAAAATTCTAGAGAGTAGGCAACTCTGAAGTCTTTAAATTGTATGATAGAAGCTTGGTGCCACAGTCCACAAAACGGGTCGGGAAGTAAGAATAATTTTTATGTAACGAACATTAGATATAAAAGGTTGTTACCCTTTCTTATCAGTAATTTTTTGCCTCGTGAGTTTTTTTTTTTTTCTTTTACTTGTGTGTTGCCACCCCGTTGAACCCAGCTGGCATACGGGCCCCGACTCCTGTTTGATCCCGTCTGTCTAAGATCTAATCACAACGTGGGTAGGCAGACCGGAGATCAGTACAGTTACCCTAGTAACCAGGTGTTGGAAGCGAGTTGGGAACGGCGAGGCTGGTAATCATCAAACCAGAGGGTTGGAACGTCACACTTGGAGCAGCGAGGAGCGAACAGCTGACGCCGCGGCAAAAAACGTCACAACTGGTGCTGTCCGTGACAAGGATCGACCCTTGGGCGGCCACATCACGTCACGTCACAGTTGGAGCCGCGAACGAGATCGAACGACAGAGTCGACGCTGCGACCAAGGAGGGGCGACGTTACAAATATATCAACTCCCAAAACAATTTTAAATCGATGTACGAACTTAATAATAGTAATAAAATTCCTTTTCTAGATATATTGATAAACACTAATAATAATAAAGTCACTATCTCCCCATATAAATAACCTACTAGCATAAATTTAACTATAACTTAACTATAAAAGTGAATGTCAAAATTACTATAAAATAGCAGTTATAAAAAAAAAATTAACCGTGCAAAAATTAACTCATTCACAAAACAGTTTTTCTTCAGTGAACTAATAAATATAAAAAAAATTCTTATTAATAATAACTTTCCTAATTATATTGTCGACAAGCAAATAAGACATTCCATTAGAAATTTTAATATAAAGCAAATAAATATAATACTTCATCAAATAATCCAAAACTTATTAATCTTTTATATAGCAATCAAATACATTATAAGAATTATAAACAGGACGAAAATATTCTTAAAAACCTAAAATACTAATATATCCACCGCAGACCCTAGCAAAAAATAAAATAAAATAAAATTAATTATATACTACACTAAATTCAATGTATCCAATTTAATTATTCGTAATGACTGCTTCCCACCAATTAACGTGTTGCAGAAAACCAACATTATATATAAATTTAAATGTCACTTCGGAGATTGTATCTCCAACAGAAAAAAAATAATATATATGTTGGTCACACCACAACTACGTTGTCTAGAAGTTTGAGTTTACAGATAAATGATGCATCTAACATCTCTCAACATTTGCAACAGCATGCTTGCCGACATCTTCATTAGAAAACTTTTTACCATGTATACTTTTTCATGAAAACAATAAAAATTCTTGAAGATATCTATATTAAAAAAATTGAAACTAACTCTTAATAAAATTAATTATGAATACTGCATAGATGTTTTAAAATGTTTACAATAGATATTTTAAAATTTCTAGATTATAAGTAATAGCTTTAAATAGTTTTTAAAAAATCTCAATAATTTAGTTATCTCCATTAACATTGCTGCCCGTTTATGCTTACATCATAAAAATTAAAAATTGTACAGTACATAAATTTAGCGTTTTTCACTGCACAAGTAAAAAAAAAATTCAGATGAACACAGTAATTTTGTCTTAGCAAAAACAAGAGTCTGAAGATGATATTGTGCTAATGACGAAAGTAAATATAAAATAAAAATAAAATCAGTGACGAAGAATGAATTTGAAATCGGGACATGCCGTTCATAATAACCGTTTAATGGTTACGAGAAAAATATGAGAACATTATAATATCAACAACTAACGATTTATTTAAAATTTATAAATTAATTCATTTTGGCGGGGCAAATTTGTTGAACGCTCTCTTGTAGAAACTATTAACACAGCGCAATCCTTTTATCTTCTTCAAAATGAAAAAAAATATTACTCAATCGATATTCATATTGAAAACAAAAAGTATCAGTTAACACCACTGCTTTACCTTCCTTTTTTAAATTTTTGGCTCACTCAGACTTAACTGAAAACGAAAGAAAAAATATATATATATATATATATATATATATATATATAAAACATTCAGGAGTACCTTATTTAAAAGAAATAAAAATAAATTACATCGAGAAATGAAAGTTCAAATTTCTTCGGCACAAGAAATGAACATTTTAAGAAAGGAAGAAAATAAAAAAAGAAAAGGAAAATCAAATGAAAGTTGGACGAAAACGATGAAGAAAAAAAAAAACAAACTAATAAACAATTGAAACAACAAAAACAAAAAATGTGTGAATGAATTGCTAAATGAGGGAAGAAGAAATTAATAAACGACACAAAAAAGCAAAAACTGTAAGGTAAACGCCATTTGCACACAGCAAATGGCGTTTGCTGAAAATGAATTGTTGTCTCGTCATTAGGGTCATTAGAAGAACATGAAGATGTTGCAGACATTGCGATAAAGAAGCAACAATCCCCAACACAAATGCCCACCGCACACAGCCGCCAAAAAGTCTCAGTCGAATGTTCGTGACAGGAGCTACAAATACTGGAAAGAGGGAGGGTGTCTCATTGCTGATGTTTAGGTTTGGTTAGAGCCCCGGGGGTAGAAGAATAGAGCTAAGGTGGAAAAAGGGTAGGAGGACTATAAATAAAATCAAAATTTCTCTTGTCTTCATTAAGACATTTCGTTACATTAAATGAGGAGGAAGAGTGGTGGTAAGATGGGGTGGTGTGGGAGGGGCTCAAGGCGGTAGAATTCTACGCTAGGTCGTTAGCGATAATTAAAACGCATGCGTCACGCTAAAATGCTATGGGTTCGGTGGTGGTGCTGGAAAATGGTAAATAGCAAAGAAAGAAAGAAAGAAATCGGTACTCGAAAGAAAACGAGAAAGAAGCAAAGCAAATAAATGAGGATAAATCAAAAGTTAGAAGACTACAGTGATGTCATGTTAATGAAAAAACGTGTTTTGGAAGAGGAAGGTGAAAAAATATAAATAATGAGAAAGAGGAAAAGAAAATGACAACAGAATGAAAAAAATTAAGATTTGGAAGCATGAAGAATAAAGGAAAGACATACAAAACAAAATATCAGATTAGCTTGACATGTGGCTTGCACCAAAATTACAAATGCTGATTTTTAAGGCACTACACCATATGGAAAAACGGCGTAAGACAAGATTTTCACTCTTTTTAATATAATTGGGATATGTGCAGTATCAGGCTAAGAGGCCTAGCTGATAGTAGAAGAGGAAATAGAGAAGAATAAGAATGAGAATAGGAACAAGAGTAGCAACATAAGAATGAGAATAATAATAAGAAAATTGAAAATAATATTTCAAAAATAAGAGAAAGGAGAAAAAAAGAAGAAAGAAGTGATAGCAAGAGAAAAAAAAAGAAGTGAAAAACCAAAGAATGTTGAAGAGGAGACAGGAATTTTGAAACGTAGACGCAGGAAGATGAAAGAAAAGAAAATAAAGAAAAAAGAGTGAAGACATAAAGTGGAAATGAGAAGAAAAAAGGAAGAAAGAGAAAGAAAAACAAAAGTTAGAGAAGGACAGAAAGAGGTGTAAGGGAGAAAAAAATGGAAAATGCTGGAAAAGTTGAGAAGCTAAATAAAACTGAAAAAATATATACAGAAAATGAAGAATCCGAACAAAATGAGTTTACAATATAAAGAGCGAAAAATACTGAAACATGGATAGAGTAAAAGAAAAAGGGAGAGTAATTGTCATAAAATGAATTTGAGGAAGACAGATAAGGAAGCTCCGAATATCCTCAGCCAGTAGAATTGAAAGAATTCTCGAGGTTTCAAAAAATTAAAGTTAAAAATAAACAAAATCCAAAAACAGAATTACGACAATGTCTTTGAGAGTCTTTGCCCTTCCCCTAATATTTCTAAGCATCTCGCAGAAAGATTTGTTGAACATTACTGGCTGATTAAGGACAATACAAATTACTTTATCAACATTGATAAAATGGCGGACATTTTTTTTCTTTTGTCACGTCATATAAGCAACTCAACCCGGATAGATGAATGAAGGGAGGTAACTTCATATTTGGACCAATATAGACATTCTTTCTCTTTTTCTCTTCCCTCGTTTTTTTTATCCATTGCGTTTTTTTCTCCCCACCTTGCCCCTTTTCATTTTTTTTTTTTCATTTTTTGATTTCACATTTATTCTCTCATCTTTTTTTCTCTGTTTTTGCTGCCAGTTTTTTTTTTAAATATTATTTTTTTATTTTATTTCTTTCTCGCTCTTATTTACATTTTTCTATTTTCTTCTTTGCTCCATTCTTCATCTCCTCTCTTTTAGAGTTTAACTTTCTTTATTATTTATCCTCTACTCTTTTCTATACTTTTACTAGCTTTTCTTTTCCTCTGCTCGTTACTATCTTGGTTTTCTCTTATTTTTATCACTTTGCCTCAATCGTTTTGCCACTTTCTCTCTTCCCACTCGCTATTAGTTCTTATGTTAGACATCTTTCTCTATTTCTCTATCCCGTTTTCTCTTTCTTTCTTACTTGTTCTTTTCATTCTTTTTTTTTATTTTTCGTTCTCCCATCATTTTAACCTGGCTCCTTTTCTTATAATTTCTCGCCAAGAAATGCCCTCTCTTTAAAATCTTTCTTTTTCTCTCCCTTTATCATTACTCTTTCTTCTCTTCCCTAACTTCCATTATATTCTCTCTCATTCGTCTTCCCTTCATTTTTCCATGTTTCTCTTTCTTTATTGCCAACGATTTCGAGCTAATATATTCATATAACATATCGAGGGCTGGCAGTCAAAGATGGTTATGCTTATTTTGGGCAAGAAATGGTTAAATCCACATGTATTTCTCTTGTCCTCTATCGACCCGAAGTGTTTATTTTCGTATCGTATTGATAGGGAATGTTTAAGATCGTTACAAAATATGAATGCCTATTATCCAAATAACCGCTCTTAAACAAAACTGACTACGTACCATTTAAAGAGTCCTTTATTCAAACATAATTACGTTTGACCGCCAGCCGACGTTATTTAAATTTAATCTTTTGGGAAAATGGATAACTCTAAGGCCAAAAATCATACTATAAAATATGCCGGACAAGTTGAATTAAAGTTCAAAAAAAGGTAATCCATTCGTGCCAGCATCTATTTTGTTCCATAAAACACACGTTTGTTAGCGGTTCCAATCCGTTGAAAATATCCAACAAATATTCCCTCAAGAAATCAATGTAACTAAAATTTTGACGCGTTCTTGTCAGATGAAATACAAATTTAAGATAAGAGAAATCTAAGGAAAAGAGATTATTTATTTTTATAAATTTTATAAATGCCTGAATAATGATGTTAAGATTTCATTAAAATAAATGATTTTGACAAAAATTTGAAACTTTTACACCAACTTTTATATATATATATATATATATATATATATATATATATATATATATATATATATATTGTTAGATATGACAGACAATGTCATATTTAACGGAAGAGGTTTCAAAGAAAGGTTGCTGCGCAAATATACATTAATACAATTGTAAATATTTAATTTACGGATTAACCCCTTGAAAAGTGTGCATATTACCACGTAACTGTGGGAAAAATTACAGTTAAGTAATTTTTCTATATATAAAACATAATATTTCACACACACACACACATATATATATATATATATATATATATATATATATAAGAAAAAAAAGTCATCATAAAACTAGTAATATATATGTTAAATGTAAACAAACTAAAAATACTGAGAACGTTCAAGTCATCGAGTCACATATAGGGACAGGTGCCAATGAAGTTTTCTCATAGGGAAAATACTCGATATTAGTTGATCTGATCTGATATGGAAGGATTCTCAGATTTGAAAAAGGAAAAATAAGTCTAGATTATCAATAAATCTTTGCAATCCTTCATTTTGACAGGCATGGAAAAGTTTCATTGATATTGTTGATTCCAAAGAAAATCGAAGGATTTTTTTCTGATAAATAATGTGAATATGAAATAATATTTCTTTCTCTTTCGTCTCACATCCCCTTTGTCTGTCTGTCTGTCTGTGTCTGTCTGTCTGTCTGTCTGTCTCTCTATTATGCACACACACTTTACTCTTTCTCTCTGTATGTCCTGTCATCTCCCTTTTCTACTTTCTCTTCTTTTTTATTCTGTTTCCTCACTCTTTATCTCTTTAATTCCTTAATCTTCTTCTGTTCTTGAATTTATTTTATTTCCTACTCTTTCTCCCTCTCTTTCTTTCACTTGAATCTTCTTTTTCTCTCTGTTTCTTTGATCTCTTTCTTCTCGTTATGGTTTTATTCTTTTAGTCTTTCTGATATCTGTCTTTTTATTTATCTAACGATCAATCAATCAAAATATCTAAATCTCTTCACATTCATCTTCAGTTTTATCTGTATAAAAAAAATGATCAATAGAACTATAGTGCTCACCATGCACTCGTATCTTCTCGTCTCTGAGATTATATCAAGACACATTTGATATATATATATATATATATATATATATATATATATATATATATATATTATGAATTAACTGGTTTAAAATATGTTTTTTCGATACACAGTAATAACCATGTTTCAAAAACTGATGCTAAAAACTTCAAATTTATTTATATAATTAAATTAAAAGCATTAGTTCCGTTTCATCTTCAAGCGCATATTGGATTATCAATAAGAACACCTGATTATATATCTTACTGTTCATTCTTTTTTTTATATATATACATACATACATATATATATATATATATATATATATATATATATATATATATATATATATATATATATATATCCAGGGCAACCATACCGTCAAAATACATCTTTGAAGTAGTGTCGAAGCTTTTACAGACAAATGAGACATTAGCGAAATTGAAGAAAACTCCAAAACTACATTTATGCAGAACTGATTGTTACTCGATGGTCTTGCAACAACGCAGGGTATCCTTTTTAATATCCGTTCAAGAAGCCTAACTATAAAGACAATACACACACACGCGCACATACACACACACACACACACACACATATATATATATATATATATATATATATATATATATATATATATATATATGCGTGTGTGTATCTTTTAATGATCTGCAGTTGTTTGTTTATTTTAATGAGAGGAAGAACCGCGAGGGATTAACATCTCTTCGTTATATTCACCGGTAAGATTGTCAGGGTGAAAAATATAAGCAAAATGGAGAAAGACGTAAAGAAATATCTAACTAAAAGAATTTTTTCTCATTTGATTCCATTTCATAGATAGTTACACAGATATTTAAGAGGCCGAGATAGATAGATAGATAGATAGATAGATAGATAGATAGATAGATAGATAGATAGATAGAATAAAATAGAATAGTAATGAAGGAAGCAATAGATAGATAGATGAGAACAGAATAAAATAGAAACCTGTAATGAAAGGAAAGAAAAAAGCAAAAAAGGGTGAGAACAGAAGTGAAAAACGAAATTTCAAATAAAGAAAGTTTAAATGTGAAGTGAAAAAAGAAAGTATTTAGCAAAAATAAAGAAAAAATGAAAGAAAAGAAAGAAAGAAAAATAGCACCATAGAAAGTAGACATAATGAGATAATAACCTTATTTTAATTTCAATCTTTATATCTACCTTAAAGTTTACTTTCAGATGTGAAGTGACTAAATAACTTTAGTATTTAGCAAAATATACACGAATAAAATGGTGGAAATTTCTAGAAATAAAAGTTTAAATCAGTAATAACAGAGAAATGGAGAATGAATGAATAAAAACGTCAAACACTTTGGAAAATGTGTGATTTGGCGGGAAGAGAAAATTTGATTGACAACATGACAGAAAAAATGTACCTAGGCCGGACAATTGTCAAAAACCAGAAGAAGCTTGGTACTAATTGTATGGTGTCCAGCGGATTGTAACGTGGATGTAACGTGGATGTAACGTGGATGTAACGTGGATGGCGGTGAATGGTAAAAATTGATAGCGAGAAAAAATTGGGAAGTACAAACAAGGAACATGACGGAAAATCAAAATAAACAATGAAAAATAACAAAAACAATAAGGTAGAGGATTCTCAAGAAGAAAAATATCGTTAGAAGAAGAAAATATCAGAATAATAATAATAATAATAATAATAATAATAATAATAATAATAATAATAATAATAAAAAAAAAAAATGTAATATTGTCTTATTAAGCATGGTCATAGAACTTTGTCTATGTAACGCTAGAGGAAAAAGAAGTGTGTCCATAGCAGAAATCGAATGATGATGATGAAGATTATCATCGAAAAAGAAGATAAGAAGAGAAAGAAGAAAAGGAGAGAAAGAAGAAAAGGAGAAAAAGTAAAGCCATTAATAACGAAAAAAGAATTAAGGACATGCCTCATTGTAGCGTATTTTGGCACAATCCCATCTTTATATAACTATTCATCCTAATTGGCTTCATATCAGGCTACTCAATATAAAAATGCAAAAGAAACGATAAAAGAAAGACAGGTACAAGAAAAATAGAAAGACAAGTGAAAGAAAGAAAGAAAGAAAGAAAGAAAGAAAGAAAGAAAGAACGAATGAAAGAAAGAACGAATGAAAGAAAGAAAGAAAGAAAGAAAGAAAGAAAGAAAGAAAGAAAGAAAGAATGAATGCGTATCATTAAAGCAAAGTTGAAAAAAATTAAGGATAAAAATGAATTATAAAAATGTCAAAGAAAGAAAAAAACTTTAAAAAAAAGAATAAGAACAATAAAATAAAGAAATATTTTAAGAAGACACAAATATTTTTAAGTATTAGAACATTCGAATCGTCCTGGGTATGAAGCCTTGCTGCCGAATGTAGTATTCGGCAGCAAGGCATCTAATCGGGAGATTGTAGGTTTTCAGGTCTACTCTGACTCGAGGTGGTAACACCTGTTAGGGTCCCAAATATGTTTAACCTCCAAACTGGGGTCAAACACTATGAAAGTGTAAAAATACATTTTTATAATGAAAATACCAGCGATAATTTTTTTTAAAAACAGAATTACCAGCAATATATTTTGTAAAAAAAAAAAAAAAGAATTTACCAGCAATATGTTTTTATAAAAGAAATTACTAATGTTCCTAAGAAAATTAAATTTTTTAATTAAATAAGCCATAAGAAGTTAATATGGGCTAAACAAACAAACAATAGTTGGAGTAACTCAATCTTTCTACCCACGAACCAAATTGATTAATGTGTAACAGGAAGAAAAACAGTGGATTTTTAAATAATGATTAATGTGTTTGTTATGAGTTCAAGCGCCATACGAGGCTGGCATCCCGCTCTCACCCCCTCACTGTCGAAACTCCTAAATGTAGCCGTCTCTTCTACTTCAATAGCTTCATGTCTCGCACCTCTCGCCTTTCCCTATTCCTGTTTCCCTGTGAGCTATAATCTCCAGCTATTCAAGTGTAATGTCAATCGACATCTCCAGTTGCCTTGATCTATCCACTACTCTTCTCCTCATCCTTTCTTCTATCACTCTTATCTGATCTTGCTCTAAATTTTCTGTAACCCCTTGCGTCCTAGTGGCTTCCCGCCTTGCTTGGGGTGAAATGCTTAAAAAAAAATTGCGTCAGAGAAAATATCTAGCCGCTTGGCAATGAATTAATGGTTAACACACATATCTCGCAGATTATTATCTCTAATAATTGCAGCCTTGTGCCAAACATTAAATTTATTCCAAAACTTCGTCTAAAGTCTAAATGTCCTTTCAAACTTCTAGGTTGGTGATATTCGTTGACAGATTTTCAACTCAAAAGCTTGAATCCCGCTATGCCAGCTCCACCCAATCAAACGCTTATAAAAAAAATTATGCAAAAAGAAATTTGAAACAGAAGAATACACCACGTTGTCGAAAATAAACGGTTGCAGAATCGATAGAGACGACATTGAAGCGTGGCTCGGTATTCTTTGAATCTTCTTTAATTAGACAAAGAATCAGAAACGAGCGCTTTTTTATGAACCCGGATGGTGTGGCTTTTATATGACTTACACAAGGCCTGGAAATAATGTCACGTTCCTTAACCTTTACACAGGTTTTACAAAGAATGAACAGAGTAAATCGCTCTTTTCTTTCTTTTGTCACCGTGAGCATGCTCAATAAAAACACAAGACAAGTGAAACAGACATCAGGTAAATTTGGAGGCCAGACAGATATAGGCTTAATATAATAACGACACATGGTTAATTGAAAAATTTTCAAAGTAATGTACGAGTAAAAGGCCTGAAAAAATGACATTCTCACGACTGTTTTTTTTTCCTGAGTCATAGACATCGATAAAGAGTACCACTGAAAAATGTGCAACCAAAATGCAACCAATGATACCAAGCGACTGTTAAATCGTAAAATAAGTCATTAGGAATTTTATTTATCTACTTATTCTATTTATCGATTATTTATCTATTTACTGGAAGATAATGCATTGCACGTTATTGAGAATCTGCTCGACTTTAACGCATTATCCTCCTGTCATTTACAGATCGGTGTTTTGTTAAGCGTAAACGATTCCGTACTTAGGGATAGAGTCTCCGATTGATACGAAATCTGTCGGGTTTCGATCCCGGATTGAGGCAATCGGATGTCTAGCTACACTGATCAGCTGTGAAAGTTGTGAAATAGCTGTGGATGGTATATATATATATATATATATATATATATATATATATATATATTTGTGTGTGTGTGTGTGTGTGTATGTGTGTGTGTGTGTCTGTGGATGATATATATATATATATATATATATATATATAGTGGGTGGGCAGAAAAATCTCCCACATAATGGCAATGGTGTATTCATGTAACTAACGATTTACTATGATGTGGGAGATATTCCTGGGATGTATATCTGCTGTGCTCTCTCTCTCTCTCTCTCTCTCTGTATGACAGAGAGAGAGAGAGAGTGAGAGTGAGTGAGTGAGTGAGTGAGTGAGTGAGTGAGTGAGTGAGTGAGTGAGTGAGTGAGATTTAACCAAATGCTCAGAGAATTTGACATTACATTGAACAGAACATAAGTATGTTCGCCGCTACGTCTTATGAGTCGTACAACTTATTAGACAGCTGATATACATGATCAAGAGTGTAGTATCGTAGAACAAATGACTGTCACTTTTTAATCATACAACCCCAAGCAAGGCGATAATGCCATTAAGATGCAAGGGGATACTAGAAGTAGAAGTGATTGAGAAAACTTTAATGAGTAGAAAGGACAATAAAAAGAAGCGGTTTCAGGTGTTAAAATATTACAGTTGACATTGCATTTAAATTTTGATAGGCGGTAGAGAAGCAAGAAACCTGAAAATATTTCCACAGATTAGAATTTTGAGTAAACTATTAGAATAGAACTGACTGTTATACCTGGTTACACAACAGTAAAGCGATGAGACCTATTCGCCAATCTAGTTGTACGCTTACATTCCCGCGATCTAGGTATCAAAGAGGAGAGCTCATTAGAACAACTGCTGTGATAATAGTGTAGTATAATAACCTATAATAATATAGAAAAAATAATTGTCTATAATAATAAAGTAAAGACGGAGGGAATCCCCGTTATGGCACGGGGAAAGTGGCTGAAGCTGAAATGCTAAGTCAGGACAGATAGTATTACAGACATTTCTTTGGATTTTGTCAAAAATCTCGAGGTATATAGCCAGATCACCACACCAGATATGACAACAATATTAAATGCGCCGACGAATGGTAGATTTATAAATATTTAAGATGGATTCTGACGAGACAAATTGTCTGGCATGACAGAAATAACCAATTTCCTTAGCAGCAAACTTTGTAACTGAATCAATATAATCGCTCCATAAATGACAGTAGAAAACGTAAGACCAAGAACACGTTTCTCTTATGGAGGTTAGCATCAGCCATGCTGATGGATGGCAAAAATTGTTCTCTATGAGGATTAAAAGTAAGCAGTTTTGTTTTTGGAGGTTTTTAAAATTGTCCCATTTAACAACTGATTTCATTGTTATTTTCGGAAAACCGCCAATTTTACTTTGTCAGACCTTATTTGATTTACTCTTAAGACAGGAGTAAATAGTTGTGACATCAGCATAAAAACCTAGTTGGCAACTAAGGACATCAGGAAGGTTGTAGATGAAGATAAGAAATAACTTAGATGCAAGGATAGAGCGCTGGTGGGAGAGGATGCTCCGCATTAATGTGAAATGATCTAAATGCGTGGCCGTTCTCCATTACTTTACTTGTTTATAACGGTTTGATTAGGTCAAATATCTGGCCAGAGACTCCATAGCCCTTGAGTTTGTGAAGAAGACAAACAAACCCTGTCGAACGCCTTTGAGATATCAAAAGACACAGTCCAAGCCTCACCGTTTTTATCTAATGCCTGATAGACAAATTAAGTAATAATCGTTAACATATTCATAGGCTAAGTTCAATAAATAATTAGTGCCGACTGAATGTATGAGATTATTCTCAAAGGTGCCAGAGTTCATGCTCAGTTCAAATTTCAGGATTCTGAATGTAGATTTTCTACATAAACAAATCATTACCACTTTAAAAATGTGCGCAACACAGTCTTTTCCTTCTTTGTGATTTTGTGTCATTCTGAGTTAAGCTTGGTAAATATAATAGATTAACTATTTATGTAAGCTATGATATCATTGGTAGGATTTATTAAACAAATAAGTCAATATTTACATCTCCTCAAATGATTAAATATATGGCAGATGAGCAAATTCTGGTGGCAAAAGGTGGTGATGAAATACTAATCATTGTCGTATTAGAACGCTGACTGTATTTAAATTCGGTTTAAATATATCTTCAGATTTCTTTATTGCAGCCTACAGATAAAAGCATGATAATTCGTCCTTGTGTGATAGCGTCTTCATATAAGGTCGACTTATAGATGAGTATATAACTCACTTTATGGCGGACTCTAAAATATTTAGATAGCAAGAATCAGGAAAGAATTTGCAAACAACGGTTTACCGAGAAAAACATTTATTCATAAAGCTTTTCCCCATAGAGGCAAAACACACTTTTCGATATGAAATTGTCTTAATGGAAAGGATTATATATTGTTCCTCGCAGAGATGACAAACTTGCACTTGGAAAAATTTCCCGCCTTTATGGAATGTTTCAACTCTCCATTAGATACAAAGAATTCGTACCCCGCCACATACAAACATATATATGTGTGTGTGTATGTGTAGTTGACGTTTTTGCATTCGCATATTTCCTGAATTATCCTTGTCAAATTTTATTCATGAGACATTTTTCTTTCTCATGAATTTAGAAGTCAAGATTTCTCGTAGCATTTGTTATTTCTGCAATATAAAAGTCACTTTTTCCTGATGTCTACAGCTTTATACAAACTCTATATCTATCTATCTATCTCTCTATCTCTCTATCTCTCTCTCTCTCTCTCTCTATATATATATATATATATATATATATATATATATATATATATAGATAATATTAGTGGAAAATATACATACATATGAAAAATATATATCTAAAAAAATTTCCATACATGTATATTTTCAGAAAAAATTTTTCCAAGAGGAAGGATCCAGGTAGAACTCAATGTCTAGGACAGAGTAAGGATATAATAAAAAGGCTTAAACACTAATATTAATATTCCATGGTTAGTGTTTAAGCCT